CCATTGTAGCCTATGGGTGAAACGTCGAAACAGCAAAATGTTTCAATGAAATGAAATGAAACGGAACAGTGGTTTCGAATCAAAACAAAATTTGAAATGAAACATTGTTCCATCGAAAAGTCAAAATGCAAGTCGAAATGGAGCAGTGTCGTTTTGCACAGCCCTACTGGCAACATATTTAAGGAGGCTAGGAGGAGCAATGAAACAGCTTCTCTTCATTATCTCCGAGGGCATTCAGAACCTCAGTGCAAAGAAAAAATACAAACAGAACAAAGGACATTGTGAGAAAAACCTTGGTCTGTTGCCAAGGTCCTCAATTTCTAAACTCTTTACATTTAGATTGTTTGATTGTTAATTTTACACTAAAGGCTTCTTTTGCATTTTGTATAATTTTGTAACCATGTTCACAGCTGAAGTGAAAAACGATCTAGCCTGGATCAGGTTTATTCTTTGTTAAATACATTGACATTAGTCAGTATGTGAACTTTAGAGCACTTACAACAGTCTATATTGAAAGAGAAAGCTAAAATCAACCCTAAATTCAGCATAGCCGGCATTCAGCTATAATCTTCTTAATTTCTTCTGTTTCTCCTGTGTACTGGTTAAACAGGCCCTAGAAGAATGAACAGATTTTTTTTTCCTGAGTGGTCTATCTCTTCTGCTTAGTTAACATGCAGTTTTTCAATAATTATTTGACAGATACTTTTAGTATTCTTTTCCTGGTCTCTACCTTTGGCAGTAGAAGTGTCCTGGTCTCTGTCATCAAAACTTTTGAGACTTATTTGAATATAAGCACTAAGTTGTGTCCCATTATTTTGGATGTAGAAGGGGGGAAAGCAAAAAGCTCCAGGTTTCTTTGGCCAACTGAAAAAAAGATTTCCTGGACAAGATGATAACTTGTGGTTCCTTCCTACCAAGTGGTGTTCAACCTTTTTAGCTAGGAGACCAGATGGGCAATGCCTGGTCTGTCCATGGGCTGCATCAGGCCAGTAGCCCTGATCTGGTACCAATAGGGTGGGCACAGTAGGACCCCATCCAGCCATGTGAGGAAGATGCAGGGCAGGGGGATGTAGCCTAGCTGAAACCTGTCCGTGCAGGAGGAAGAGGATTTGACCTAGCCCCATGGAAGGGAAGAAGCATGGGCCAGCTGCAAGGGGAAGGTAGCTTGGCCTGGTCCCAATGCCACTGCAGGAGGGGTAGGGGGTATAGCTGGCCCCAACCCACCGCACGGTGCTTGGAGTTTGGCAGCAGGGGGAGGCTGGCTGTATTAACTGCCACCATTCCCCTGTCACCAAATTTCCTGACCTGTAGGAGAGACCCACAGGCCACATTTCGCCTGTAGGCCAGAGGTTGAATACCCCTGATCCAACCCAAATCATCTCATGACTTATTTGTGATCAAGAAAGATGTTGCTATCTTCTATTTAGTTAGCAAGTCCTAAGGTTCATGCAATTTTCCCTGTATACAGAAAGTGCTAAAGGAAAATCAAGGATAATCTATGAGGGCATACAACTTGATTTACTTTAACAACTACCTTGGCATAGTGTTTTAATGTATTGTGTATGTATCAGAGGTTATATAATAGGCATGTTTCATAAATCCAGTAAGGCTTTGAGATGAGTTTCTCAAAAACTAATTTATTTTTTTTTATTAGGGAGACACTAGTGTCTTATCTTTAAACTGACATCCTTGATTCATATTCTGAAAAGCAGAGACTCAAGCGCATTACAAAATGGAAATCTAGATTAAATAGGGTCAAAATGATGAAAAATCTCAAGATTTTCCAGGAAAAAAATTGTTTTAAACTGTTTTTGTAACTAACTTGTAAAGCAACTAAATAGGATAGACCAAAAACACCAACCCCACAGCTGTTATGAACACAATTATACAAGTAATTGTTCTAGCAACAGGCCAGCAGAGACTTATGGCTTACTGCAGTTGTGACTGCAGTATAGATAGCCATATCGACACTAGCTCTAATCTAGCTAGCTTGGTACCAATACTAATGGTAAAATATAGCTGCTGTAATGCTTACCCAGGGTCCCAAGTGGGTTTGTATAGCTCACATGGAGGTCCCTAGAACAGGTTCCACTTAACATGTGATTAACTAGTTCATTACGCTTTAAATTGTTACCTGGCCACACGTAAAAATACCCAAGTGAATTCAGATACCAGAAGCCATCCAACTGTGACAGCACAGCGCTCAACATGCAATATGCCTTGCAAAAAATCAGAATAAATATATTTATTTTATATTTCAGCTGTGGCTGAGTGCTTTGAGGACCTGAGTTAACTCAGGTGTCAGTACACTACAGTGCAGTGTACGCATGCCAAAATCACATAGTAGGCCAGTGACAGAAATGGAAAGACAACCCACATTTTCTGGCTTCTAGTCTATTGATTTATCCCCTGAACCCTGTGCCATCCACTTGGCTTCAAATATTAGCACATACTATTACAGTAAAATTTGAGTGTACAAAGAAAATAGACTAATTTATATCAATCAGGTAGTAGTAAGTATTTGTTCTTAGGGGTGAAAAAAAATCTAAAAAAGATATCTTAAAAATGACTGAAAGAATTTCACAAGGTCCCTATTAAGGAAGAAGTTTCCGCTTCCCAGATGATGTCAAATATTTTGGATGATATGTTCAATAATTGTTACCTTTCAAAATGAAGACTAACATTACCCTATCTTTGTATTTCTTGTGATATCACAACATGCCTTTTGGTAGGTTAAATTTGGAAGGTGACAGACAGAAAGTTATCCTTTTAATCATCTTAATACTGAGCACCGAGACAGACACAGGACTCCATTTTTAGGGTCACTTCTTACAGTGCTTTTTCTGTGCTTTACATATGCCATCTTCTCCTATAGCTAACTGGGACACAGAAGTGGTTATTTATCAAAATATAAGAAAAATGCACTGGTGACACTCATTTTGCTTCACACCAAAAGGGATATGATCTTGCACACCATGTCATATCAACTCATAGTTATTGGAAGCCATTTTTTCCCCAGGAAACCATAGCAACCAAGGTTTACAACTTGTACCTCCTGCTGTAACACAATTGCAAGACATTAGGGCCTAAAAATGGTGGTGCCTGGATACACAGTGACATTTTTTAAATATGTAAAGTAAATGAACCTAGACAAATGTTTGATGAACTACACTACAAAATATTAGAGGCTTTATGTTATTGGTGTCAATGTGCTGAATGATACTTATTCTCTATTACAGTTACAATGACTTAAAATCTGTTTTAGACCTTATATTTTTTTCACTGATAACACGGAGGGAAATTGTCACTGCTGCATATGATATAATATACAGGTTTACTGTAGCCATAAAATATGTTAAAATGAAGCCACTAGAATCAAATGGAAATAAACTGACTTACTGTGAATGAGTTATGGCACAGAAAGTAAGTGAACACCCATATAATATCAAATAGCCTGTGCACTAACCTGGGTCTCGACTGCCAACTCTAATTTTTGCTACTTCCCTCCCAAATCAAGCCCACAAGAAAAAGAAGCAAAGTACAATGCACAGAAATGAAACCCAGATAGCAAATACAACACATATACAACATGCCCATGAATGTAATATGCAACTTGTTTTTGAAAACCAGAATGAAGGATAAAAAAAGTTTTTTCCAGAGTTGTTGCTGCAGAAATCAGGGACAGAACCTAGTCTTCAGCTGACTTACCTCTCTTTCCTTTTTAACTGACATTCAAAACCTAGCTGCTGCTGGGAACTGGTCTCCATAGATATATTAATGATTTTGAAAAGAGCTAACGAGTCTCCAAGGCTGTGAAATAGAAGGAGAAAGGCCAGGAGCAACTAGCAGAGAGCAATATTGACCTAAGAAAGGTTAGCTCAATTAGTGGAACATCCAGAACATTAAAAAAGGAGAGACAATCATTAACACTCATGGAGTGAAACAATAAGCCATTAAGTTAACTGAGTCCTTCAGCTGCCTGAGTAGTAATGCAACAGCTGCTGCATTGTGGAGTAGGAATAAAAGCAGTATGTTTCTAATCCTGGTCAAAAAAATCAATTTCTCCATTCAACACATGTACCCCAATATTGGAGAGCTGATTCTGGGAGGAAAGATGTACAGGGGACTGTATCCCAGGAATAGCCCCTACTATAGTAAAAGGACAACCTGAGTTTCTTATTACCATATACTATACTATATTTAATGAATTGCAGCAAACCTCCCATTAGAGTTTCCTTCACAATAAATTGTCATTAAGATTTAGATTCATATCTTTCTAGACCAGAAGGGACCATTGTGATCATCTTTGACCACTATGATCATTGTTTCTTAGTGCATAAAGTAAAATGCTCAAGCCGTGCTTCAAACTTAATTTAATTATGAATTATGCAACAACATACACAGGAAATGCACTGAAAAAGCATATAATTAAGTTCAATATTTCATGTTCCTTCATTTCATTCCAGCATCATTAAGATTTGATTTACTATAGTTTGTGAAATTTCATTTCATTTACGACATTAACCTTCAAAATGAATATGGTTATTTAAAGTTGGGAAGTGGAATTTCTGCTTTGCCAAATGAAAAGTTCATATTGCAAAAAGGATAAAAAAAGCGCACGCACGCACACACTGCAAAGTGGCACGCGATACACCAGATTCCTATTGTGAAGCACAAATTCTTTGCAACACTGGGAGACATCGCAGAACAAAAATACTATTAGAACTGTTTCAAAAGGAACATTTTTGGCTAGGATAGAGACTTTTGACATTATTTATTAGGTTCAAAAATGCTTAACAAAAGCCTAACAATAGTCCTGTGGAAACCACTACATCTGAGGCACTTTCTGTTGTTATGTGCAGGCATTGATTTGAAGATGGCCAGCATTAGTGGAACAATTCCCTCACAGCAGTCAATGCACGTGAGCATTCATACACATACAAGCAAAAGCCTGTGAACAAACCATATGGAAACAGGAAAAAAAGTAAACATTTATTAACCTCTTTGTGGGGAGATCGGTGGAAGAACAGGCCAGTGGTGAAGGAGACGGTCATGCCAAATTTCTACGAAAGACGGTGTTTGCCCTGAGCATTTTTTCACAGAATATGAAGAAGCCTGGAGATTGTTTGCAGTTCCATGGTAACTGGAACTGTTCAGGCTGGGGTTCAGAATATTGTTGCAGTAACCATTTGCCACCAAAAGAGAGCCTTTCTGTAGAGCGGACTGGTTGGAGACTTGGCTGCTGCTACTGTCTGCTTCAAGTTCTGTGTCTGAGGAAGCCATTGCAGACATGGAAAAGGAGGAAGAGCGAAGCTGAGAAAGAGGTGTGCTCCCCTTTCTGCTGATGGTAGCACTAGAAAGCTTTCTAGAAAAATCTGTAAAATAAACACAGTAAGTATCTCTTCAGACATGAACACACAAAAAGATATGCACAGATAAAACAGTGTGCCCACAAGCATACCCACATACACCTATGAAATGCATGCAGATATATGAGGGTGCTGTAGAAAGTAACGATAATTTCAAAATAAAACCTGTTGTGCACAAGTGGGAAACTAAACAGCAGAGGAAAACATTATTGGCACCCATCATTTACAACTATGTAGAGAAGTGAGATGGTCCACTAATGATCACTGCACACAATACGGTTTTATTGCAAAATTGCCATTGCTTTCAGAAACACCCTCTCCATCTATGAATATATGTCAATACACATCAAATTAAATTTGGTGGCATTTTTTGAGAGTCACAAAGGCATGTGAATTCTGCAGGTCATCCCGGGTGTGTGCCAATAAAATCTTTACATTATAATGGGTATACAACATTTTACCCATGCTCCTCAGCATACACTAAACCAATAGGTGGTATCTAAAGCACTGTCCCACTACACTGCTTACATTTATCAGTGACACTAGTGGGGATGTTTGCATGAATAGGTATTCTTCACTGGGAGTTAAGGACTACAGTCAAGCCATTTATTTCTGCAGTCTGATTTCTTTTCCTTGGTGTTACCACTGACATGGAAAACATGAACATTCTTATATTTAACTCCTTTAAAATAAAAGTGATCTGTCTCAGAACGGTTTTGAAGGGAAATACACAGTGGAGAGTTATTTTTTTTACAAGTTCACTAGATGTCACAGGCGACTGGAAAGGGGTGCACGGGGGTGCATGTGCCCCCCTGATGGCTGACACTGACACTGTCGGCAGGGCTGGTGCCCCCCCTGACAGAGCCGACACTGGCGGCGGCTTCTACAGGTGCCCCTGACAGATTCAGGAGGCACCAGTCACTCATGCTAGTTGTTCATTTCATTTGCTGATGAGAAGATGGTGAATCTCATCAATTGGTTTTAGAAGCAAGTTTTAATACATCAGCTGATACAAACAATTCTTAACATGAGTAGAGAGAGGTAAGTAGTTATGTTGGTCTGAAGTCAAGCAGAAGACAGGGCAGGAGGGCATCTTAGGCTCTAAGGTGCCCCCCCACCCCCACCCCCCGCCCTCCCTTCTGCAATTCTTAAAATATCTTATAGCCAACTGCAGTTTCAGGCCCTATATTTCTAAAGATTAGACTGTAAGTAAAATGAAGTAAATGAACAGAAGCAGAAAAGAATGGGACATAGAGGAATTTATATACCACATACCTGACCAGTCAGTATCTCTTTCAAAGCTGAATGAAGTCTGGTTGCTAATCACACTTGAAGTTGACCTACTGATGTTTGAACAAGTACTTTCCGTTTCAGAGACCAATGGAATAGTGCTGTCTTGAACCCTGTCCAACTCATCTAATCCAGTATCTTCATTAATTTCTGTGTTCTGTCCTAGGAGTTTAGGACCTTCAGGTTCTTTTTTTTTCTTCTGTTGACCTAGTAGCTTCTGCCAGAGGCACCTCTTGGTTTCTCATTGATGGAGCATGTGGGTGAATAACTACATGAGCTAGATCTTCCTCACTAGAAGCCAAGCTGGGTGGAGGTAATTTTGGAACTTTATATTCTCTGTATATGGGTAATTTTGTTTGAAAAACCTGTTTCTGTCCTCTTCTAAAAGAGCCTGAAATGGAATGGAAAAATTACTTAAATACATACAATTTCAGTAATGTCTACCAAGCTGCAATAGAATGAAATTAGATGGATCGTTAACTGTTTCTAATGTACTCAGCATTGCCAGCTTTCATGACATTTGCTGATTTTCTTAAGGACACTGCTATGGTAATAACGTTACTATCTGACTTTCTCTATTTTTTAAACAAAAATCCCTTCTGTAGACAAACCTCAAAAATGTGAATACTGAACTTTTGAAAAAGAGATGGCAAATTAAAAAAAAAAGTATTGTTTTTAAATATCAGAAGATTTTAAGGACAATCTCATGATTTTTTGGAACTAGAGTCATTATTTTGAATGCTTGTGGTTAGCAGTACTTTTTAGATTCTGAATGTCAAATACAGAAAAATGTTTTCTAACTTTGCAGTTCCAATTTGCAGCATGTAAACAAGATCCATGTACAAAGTTCTGTATGTGTATGATACATTAAACAGATAACTAGATGCCTAGGTACTTTGGATTTTCAGTGACTGCTGGTTTTGTCTTTTTTAGTTTGCACATGAATTGTGTCATAGGCCTGATAAAAATTCCAGTTAATTTAATGGGAGTCTTTATTTTGACTTCAGTACACACTAGATGATGCCCTATGAAGGATAAAAGATTGAAAGGACTAGAAAATAATGTCTCCTATTGAGGGGACAAGTATAGCTTAAGCAATGGAAGCATAAGTTTCCTATACTACATTATGCCTGAGTTGGAGAAAGCAGCTGTAATATAGATCTTTAATAAACTAAGGCAAGGGACAGAAATTACACATAAAACAGTATAACAAATCAGAAACTGGTTCAGAGCTGTAACACAACAGAAATGTTGTGCACATGAACCACTTCCAAAATGGCCAAAACTCATTTAAAATAAACCTGGATGGATGTAGTATCAGAATTAACTGATTTAGGTTAAATCAGTTTATTGAACTTATGTCCAGATCCCCTCCAGATTCAGGTTAACTCACAGTCCCCCAGCATCCCATGATGCCTCACACCACCCTCAACCTCTCCCCCTACCCCGTCTTGCAAGGTAGGTGTGTTAGCCTTGGTCCAAGCTGTCTGCTCAAGCAGGGAGGTGTGTTCTAGCACTCTGCACCCCTCACCCCGCCCCCAACTTCTGGCCTGGGCCACTTCAGACAGGTGGTTGCATTTCCAGAATCAAAAATGAACATCCGTTCACTTATCAGTTCAATCTATGCAGCTTAAACTAACCTGTGAAGATTGAATCAATTCAGCCTTGGGCTTTTTGACAGTCTATACTTAGCCTAAGGGTAAAGACAAGCTTAACAACTGTATCAGTATCAAATGATACCAAGACAAGCTGCTACCATGTAAATAGTACATCTGCATGCTCCCCTGCCTGTACAAGCATAACAAAACTGTTGCAACTTTAACCCTCTTACATTCAGATTTAATGCTAGGGTGGTTTAGCTGACTTGTATCACTGCGAGAACACTCAGACATAACATATTATAACAGTTTATATGGTCTTCTAATACCATAAACAGACATCATCTCTGGAGTGAGATCAGCTGTGTTGCAATGTGTCCCAGCACAGCTGATCCACTTCATTATAGTTTCATAGTAGCTAGGGTCAGGAAGGACCTGAACAGATCATCTAGCCTGACCCC